CAGCGCCATGGTAAGGGATGGGAGGGAGGGGTAGGACGTCAGATATGACGCGAGCGCACATAGCTTGTCCTCCTCCCCCTCCCCCTTCCCCCTCCCCCTCCTCCTCCTCCTCCTCCGCCTCCTCCTCCTCCTCCTCCTCCTCCTCCTCCTCTCGTGGCGCTGCAGCAACGTGCAGCCGCGCCGCTCTCCCTGCTGGCGGGAGCCCCGCGGCTTCGCGTGCCGTCCCTGTGTGTGCCTCCAGCCACCGCAGGCCGACAGGCAGGTCGGGGCACTCGTCGAAATGGATGGCCAGGGGCGAGGAGTGGGACGGAGGAACGCAAGAAGGACGGGCGGCTCCTCTAACCTGGCTCGAGCAGATGCCCGGGCTCGCATCCAACTGGGGCTGCAGCGAAGGCGTATTTCTCCGCACCTCCCTGCCTCTCGTCCCCTCCGCCCTCCCCCCCTCTGGTGCTCCTCTCCTTCCCCCCTTCTTCCCTCCCCGCTCCTTCTAGCCTCGAGTATAACCTGCAGGAGCACATGATCCGCTCACGCCCGCGGGCCACCAACACGCTCCTCCCTCCCTCGCCCCTGCCTCGTCTCTACTGTTGCCCGGGCCTTGTTGTTGGCCCTCGTCTTCGTCTGCCTATTCGTTGTCGTCCTCGTCGTCGGGCTCGTCTCCATCGCCGTCGCCATCGTCGTCGCCGCTGCCGAGGTCGTCGTTCGCCGTCGCCGCCGTTGTCGCCGCCGTCGTCGCCGCCGTCGTCCCCTCGCGGTCGGGCCGCCAGGCCCGCGCGCGCATCGAGAGGGACTTCCGCATCAACAACGCGATGAGCTTGAAGGCGCCCCGGTGGGGCGGGAGGGGCACGACCGCCTGTAGACAAGACTCGAATCATAACAACAACAACAACAACAACACCAACAACAACAACAACAACACCACCAACAACAACAACACCAACAACAACAACACCAACAACAACAACAACAACACTAACAATAACAATAATAGCCGCCATGTCATTCCTAATCCTACTGCATCACGTCGTGCAAGTGATACGGCGCTCGAGTACTCTGGATCGCTTATCGGGGGCGGCAGAGAGGGGGGTGATGACCAGGGGGGGGGTGGATATCATGGCGGGGGCCATGATGTTTCCCCCGATTTTATGGCGCCCCTGCTTATTTCATTGCGCCCCTGGCCCCCCCGCTGGGCCGCGCACGTGCCGCCGGTCATGATTTGCACCCCCCCCTTTTGCACACCCTCCTCTTGGCCGCTCCCGAGCTTAATAATCGCCCTTTTTTGGAGTGCCTGGGGGGTTTGGTGCAGGGGGGGTTGGCCGCGCCGCGTTTTCATGTGTGTGTGCCCCCCCTTGGTTGATTGATAAGAAGTTCGGAGTAAGCAGTACGGTGCTCGAGTACCCTTCCCGCTCCTGCGGGGCCTCTCTGAATGGGGTGGGAGGGGCACGACACCTGGAAAGCAACACTGCGCCCGAGCGCTCTGCCCGCTCTGGCTTCGCCTCCCTGGAGGGGTTGGGGGGGCGCTCTGGCGCGGCCTTCCTGGAGGGGTGGGAGGGCACGACATCTGGTAAGTCATATTGCGCTCGAGTGCTCTGCCCGCTCTGGCTGGGCCTTTCTGGAGGGGCACGACATCTTTTAAATCATGTGGTGCTCGAGTACCCTGCCCGCCTTGGCGGGGCCTCCCCGGATGGGTGGGAGTGGTACGATACCCAGAAAATTTGGCACTCGAATGCTCTGCCCGCTCTGGCCAGGCCTTCTGGAGGGGTGGGAGGGGCACGTCATGACACCTTGTACATAATATGGTGCTCGGATACCCTCCCCGCTCTGGCTGGGCCTCCCTGGAGGGTTGGGAGGGGCACGAAATCTTGTAACTATTATGCTCGAGCTGGCGGGGCCTCCCTGGGGGTGGGTGGGAGGGGCCCGACAACTTGTACAGATTCCCTACCTAGTCTCTGCCTAGACGGGTTCTTACTCTCTTGGCTTAAAGGGGCCGGGCAGTGTAATGCGCCCCGGGCGGTTCCCCCAGGATCCGCCCCGCGGTTCCCCCAGGTGCGTCCCCTTAGCTTACCGTTGCTTATCTCATCTTAGCTTAGCTTATTTCATCTTAGCCTAGCTTAGCTTCATCTTAGCTCAGGTTTATCTTAGCTTAGCTTACCTTCATCTTAGCTTCGCTGAGCTTTAGCATAACAGAGCACATCATAGCATAGCATAGCGTAGCATGTCATAGCGCAGCACAGCATATCACATCAAAGCCCACCATATCATAACATAGCGCAGCATAACATAGCATAGCATAGCATAGCACAGCGCAGCACAGCACAGCACAGCACCGCATAGCACAGCGCAGCATAGCATAGCATAGCATATCGAGCATAACACAGCGCAGCCGAGCGTACCCTAGCATAGCATAGCATAGCATAGCGCAGCATAGCGCAGCATAGCAACGCATAGCATAGCATAGCATAGCATATCGCAGCATAGCACAGCATAGCATAGCAACAAAGCAAAGGCAACGCAACAGCAGCTACAGCAAAGCAAAGCACAAGCAACGCAACGACAGACCTGCAGTGCTGAACAGCCTGCAGCTCTTGCAGGAGCCAATGCGAACGTGGCGATGTAGATGTAGATGTAGATGTAGGTGTAGGTGTAGGTGTAGGTGTAGATGTGGATGTAGGTGTATATGTAGATGCAGATGTAGCTGTAGGTGTAGATGTGGGTGTAGATGTAGATGTAGATGTGAGTCTCGTTCTTGATGTTGATGTAGATGTAGATGCAGGTGTAGATGTAAATGTAGCTGTCGGTGTAGATGTAGATGTTGCTTTCCTAAATGCTCCAACTCCTCGGTAGGGTCGACTGGGATAATTATTGTCACACGTACCCCTCCGAGGGAGTAGAGCTCAAAGACGATCAATTCCCAGCCCGTTCGAGATTTGTCTTGCCGTTTTACTCGGGGCGTTGTTAACATGTTAAACATCGGTGCATCCTTCACGCAGATCGCGACGTCAGGATCAAACGACACAGCCTTTGAGACACAATGGAATTTTATGATTTTGAGCCCGATTCTTTGAACATCGCAGTTTCGCACGCGACATCATCCAACAGCTGAGCCCATTGCGATCCGTTGGGAAACAGCAGTTTCGTTTATCCACCCTCACAACATCGAGCCCCGACGCACAACAACACAACAATTAACACACACGCACACGTTTTATAAGCGCGAAGGGAGTCCAGTGTCGAGGCGAACGAGCAGGGGGGAGGGGGAGGGAGGGGCGGGGCACAAGCACGCACCCACACACCCACACACACCCCGCACCCACACACCGACACACACACACACACACTTTTGGCGATCGCGGCGCCGCGCGCGGCGAAAGCGGGATTAGAAAGCACAAGGACGCGGACACAGACACGATCACACACAGACACAGATACAGACACAGACACAGACACAGACACACTCACACACACACACGCACGCTTGCACGCACGCACACACAGACACACGCAGTCATAGACACAGACACACACAGACACACACAGACAGACACACAAACACAGACAGACACACAGCCACACACACACACACACACACACACTTTTTGACGGTCGAGGCCTCGCGCGCAGCGTCGAGGCGGAGACACGTCAGCTCCAGTGTGCGCGCCATACGCACACGCACCGGAGATACCACACACAACACAACACACAGAGCACACACAACCGCTACAACACACATAACACACACAACGACCATACACACGCACACACGCAGACAACACACACATCACAGACAACTCACACAACACCCAACACAAGCAATACACAACGCTAACACACATCACAACACACCGAACACATAATACGCATAACGCACGACCCACCCATAATTCACACATAGCACACCCATGACACAACACACGCACACAACTTACCTCACAAACACACATGCACACGTTAGCCACAACACACGTACGCATCCGGTACATGTGTTTGCATGAGCCTCGGCACGCACGTGCCAAATGTAACAGTAATTATCATAGTGGGAGTGGTAGAAGTGACAGTAGTTGTAGTAGTGGTTGTAGTTGTCGTTGTATTGGTAGCAGTGGTCGTAGCGGTCGTAGTGCTAGTGGGTAGTAGAAGGTACTCACGGTAGTAGCTAGTAGTGGTAGTAGTGGTAGTAGCCGTAGTAGCGGTAGTAGTACTGGTGGTGGCTGAAGGGGAAAGAGGAGGAGGAGAAGGAGGATGTAGGAGCAGGACAGGGTGTCTTAACCTTGCGACGTACCCAACCCATCTGAGCTAGATGACGAGAGGGGCTGGTCCAGAACAGTTTGGCACCTGACAACGCAGGATCTGTCATTCGTTGTGCAAGCTGTCTGGGAAGCGCGCGCGTTGCGCGACTCACAGGGCAGCAAGAGGGACGAGGACCGAGGTCCCAGGCTCGGAGAGGAAGTGGGGATGGGAACGAGGGGCACGGGACAAGGACGGAAGAGGGGCCGACACGGGAAGGGCTACAGCAGCAGAGACACGGCGAAGCAGGACGACGACGCCAACAGAAGACGCCAGGTCAGGAAACAGGGTAGCGGTCAAGTCCCCCAGTGGCATGCTGGGCAAGCAGCGCGGCCTTGCTCATGTCGCCTTTATGATCCGCTGCTCAGAGCTGAGCGAGGCCGACCTCGCCCACCGCGTTCCCCGCTTCATCCCTGCACCGTGCAGCGCGGGAGCTACACGCCCGCACGCGCGCCGCCAGGTTTTCGGGACCCGCGGGACGTCACCCCGCTGCTTGACCCCCCAGCAGCCTTCGAACATGGAGGCAATGCTTGCAGGCCGAAGCCCCCGAAGAATGGCGAGGTCTAATGTCGGTCCGCGCGGGACGCCGCTCCGTTGGACCCCCCAGCAAGCCTCGAACGTGGCGACGGTTTCGCAGATCGCACCCCCCTCAGGAATGGCGAGGTCGAACTTGCGTCCGAGCGGGCCGACTTTCCGCTGGAACCGTGGCAGCACCCCCGCAGGTGCGCGAGGGCAAGCGCAAGGCGCAGCTGCAGCAACGGCTGGACGTGCTGCGGGCGCAGTGCGACGTGCGCGCGCAACGCCCCCCCCCCGCCGCTGGCTGCTCGGAGGTTCCGACCGAGAGGGAGGGGGAGAGGGAGGATACGCTCAAGGGAGGGGGAAGGGGGGAAGGGGAGGGGGAGGAGGGAGGGGGGAGGATGGCAGAGGCGGACGGACATAAGCATGGAGGGGGGATGTGTACAGGGGAGGGAGAGGGAGGGTTCAAGAGCGAACGCTGAAGGAAGAGGAACTGGAAGTGGAGCAGGATAATGAAACGGATGTAGGATGCTTGACGGATGACGAGCAGGAGGATGAGGAGGATGACTGGCGGCGACGTCTGGCGTGTATTTACATGATGCCTTGCATATCGTCCTTGCATGCGTTATTGTGCAGTTACCTTCTGTTCCCAGGTCGGCTCTAGCAGTCAGCGCTCTGACTTCGATTCCCGTTTCATCTTGCGCGTTGCCATTATTTCGTTTTCATGGTGTTAGGGATGAAGGGGTTACCCAAGACAGTTTCAAGACAACCCGACATTCTTAGGTGTGTCGTCGTCGTGGCAATGTATTACAGAGGTCATGGGTAGTTGTCCGGCAACGGTTCGATGCGATACGTATCAATCATACGCGTTGTGGTTCTCAGAGTTTTGATGTACATTGCGTGTATGTTGCGTATCTGGTTGTATGGTATGCGCGGCGATTTTGAAATGCGACGCGCGTAGGCGCACTTGAATATTCAACGAGAGTACTGGCCTACGTGTATGCACATGTGGAACGCGTCGGCACACAGTCGTACCACACAAGGCTGGTTACCGAATGAACGGCATCGAGATGTATGAATCGTTGGTTGTAGTTCAGTAGCTGGTCGAATGGTTCATTTGAGCAAGCCGTGAAGTATTGGTCATTTCATGTGCATTTTCTCCTTGCGCATGATGTTCGTGCGCGTGCACGCGCCTGCGCCGTTGGACGCCCAGAGCAAGTGAGCCATGGGGGGTAGTTAACTGCGTGCCGCGCAAGCCCGTGCAGGAGAACGCATCATGCGAAACTGCAAATTGGGGCCGGGAACGTGCCCACAACACTATGTGCTGTTTGCCCACCGTTCAATGTCAACGGGCCTTCCCAAACATTGTCTGTTTTTGTTCAACACCCGTCGCCATCTTGTCCCAGATACCTTAGTGCATGCACGCGCGGCTCCCTTGCAGCTTCCGAGGCAGCAGTCAGCAGTGCTGGGGCAGCAGCCAGCAGACCAGGGAGCAGTCAGCAGTGTTCGGGCAGCAGTCAGCGGGCTTACTCGGCGGGCGGCGCGGTCCGCCCGCGCGCGACAGGTTTTAAACGAGAGCATCCACGGGCTCAGTGGCCACTGCGCCTGGTTCCAGGACTTGCTGCCCGTCGAAGAAGAAAAACGGTGTAGACATAAACTTTAGGAGCTCCGCGCAGATTTCTTGGATCCGCGTTGGGTTCCAGTGGCGGCGCCTCTGGCGCCGCGCACTCCGCGCGCCAAGGAGGGGAGCTCAACACATCCGCTTGGACCGTCGATCTTTCTTCCTCGAGGGCATGGATCTCGGGAGGCGATGGGTCGGACGGACGGGGGCAGGAGTGGGTGAGGGGGGACGGGGGGGAGGAGCCGCGGAGGGAGGAGAGGTGTGGGGACGGGGAGGGGAGGAGGGGAGTGCGGGGGGCGGCGGAGGACCAGAGAGGACAGGGGCAGGTGGGCAGGCTGGGGAGTGGCTCGGGAAAGTGCGCGGCGACGGCCGATACGAGAGTCGTGCGTCAAGGAATGCGGGCAAAGCTGCTGCTGATGATGATGATGATGCTGTTGTTGATGATGGTGATGATGCTGATGATGATGATGCTGATGACGATGATGATGATGACGATGATGGTGGTGGGGGGAACCACCAGCATCACCACGAACACCACCATCGCTATTCCCATCATTACCATCATCATCACCATCACTAATGTCGTCATCATCACTACCATCCCCATCCCCATCATCTTCATCCACCATCATCACCACCACCTCAATTATCGTAATCGGTACTATCACCACCATCACCATTACTTACATCTTCACATATTCATCATCATCAGCATGAGCACCACTCGTCCTCATCATCATCAGCATGACCATCATCAGGAGCAGCATCATTATCATCATCGATATTCGAATCGCCAGCATCATCATCATCATCACCATCATCACCATCATCATACTCAGCATAACCATCGTCATCGTCATCTTCGTTATCATCATCATCATCATCATCATCATCGCCGTCATCATCATCATCATCGTCGTCGTCGTCGTCATCACCATACTCATCATCATCATCATCATCGTCATTGTCATTATCACCATCATCATTACCATCCTCATTATCATCACCATCATCATCACACCGTCGTCATTATCATCATCAGCATCATCAGCAGTATCATCATCAGCATCAGCATCATCATAAGTGTCATGATCATCGCCATCGCCATCGCCATCGTCATCACTATCGTAATCCTCATCAGCATCCTCATCCTCATCCTCATCCTCATCCTCATCCTCATCCTCATCATCATCATCATCATCATCATCATCATCATCATCATCATCATCATCATCATCATAATCATAATCAGAATCATCATCCTCGCCCTCGGCATCGTCACCGTCACCACCATCCTGGCTAGGATCATGCCTGTTTCTGGAGCAGGCCCGGCTCCCTCGCCGCTCGCTTCGGACGCGCCGCCGCAGCGCCCCGCTTGCTCGAGGGCTCCGCCCACCCCGCCGCGGGGCTCCGCTCCAGGGCTCGCTCGAGGAGTCCGCTCGAGGGCTCCGCTGGCGCCGCAGAGGGCGGCTGGCGGGGGGCGTAGGCCCGTGCCGCCACATTCGCGTGGGGGGCGGGGTGCCGCTGAGAGGGGCCTGGCTAGGCCGAGAAGGAGAGGTCGAGGAATGGCGGAACAGGAGGAGGAGGAGGAGGAGGAGGAGGAGGAGGAGGAGGAGGAGGAGGAGGAGGAGGCGGAGGAATGGAGCGGGGAGAGGATTTGAAGAAGGCGGTGAGGATTGAGGAGTTGGAGGGCCGGCAGGAGAGAGGAGGAACGGGGGGAGGAGGCATAAGACGGGGAGGACTAGCAGGAGGAGGCGGAGCATGATGATGATGATGATGATGATGATGATGATGATGATGATGATGATGATGATGATGATGATGATGATGATGACGATGATGATGATGATGATGCTGATGCTGATTATGATTATGATTATGATTATCATGATGATGATATTGATGATGATGATGCTGATGATGATGAGGATGATGATGATGATGAGGATGATGCTGCCGCTGGTGATGATGGTGACGATGATGTTGAGCGATTTTGCTAATGATGCTGATGATGCTGATGATGATGTTAACGATGATTATGAGGATGCTGATGATGTTGATGACGATGATGACGACGATGCCGATGACGATGTTGCTGCTGCTGCTGATGATGCTACTTCTGATGATGATGCTGATGCTGATGTTCTTGGTGATGATGATTGCGGTGGTGGTGATGGTCACGGTGATGGCGGTGATTATGGAAACGACACTACGAGCCGATCAAGGTATATTTGCCCATTTGCGGTCCATACACGACCAGCGCAATAATGATGTTGATGTTTATGATGATGACGGCGATGATGATGATGATGATGATGATGATGATGATGATGATGATGATGATGCTGATGATGATGATGATGATGATGATGATGATGATAAGGATGAAGATGGGGATGCGCATGATGACGAGGATGATGACGAGGATGATGATGAGGATGAGGATGATGAGGATGATGAGGATGATGAGGATGATGATGAGGATGATGAGGATGATGAGGATGATGATGATGATGATGATGATGATGATGATGATGATGCTGATGAGAAATATGATGAGCAGGACGACGAAAGAAGTGGTGATAACCACCGTGATTATGGTGATGGTGATGATGCTGATAACCTGTCGAGGACGAGGGTCAAATCTGGGACGACGAGGACGACAAGGGAGGGATGGTGAAGGGAGGCCCTCGTGCCGGCGCCCACCCTCCGGCCTTCGCGCCCCTCCCGCCGAGGAGAGCGGCAGCTACCGCGAGGCCGTGGACTATTTAGAGGGGCGGTGGGACGACGACGAGGCTCGCGGCGTCTCGCGCTGGGATGAGTAGGAGGCGGAGGAGCAAGAATGACGAGGAGAAGACGCAGGAGGAGGAGGAGGAGGAAGAGGAGGAGGAGGAGGATGAGGAGGAGGAGGAGGAGGCGGAGATGGATTCGGAGGAGGAGGATGAGTAGGAGGCGGAGGAGGAATAATGACGAGGAGAAGACGCAGGAGGAGGAGGAGGAGGAGGAGGAGGAGGAGGAGGAGGAGCGTCCTCTTTTTTGTGTTCTTTGCCGCAGTTGTGCATGCATGGCTGTGGCTCACCAGTCTCGCAGTTTCACAGTTTCACAGGCAGGGGTAGCTACGCAGAAAGAAGAGATGGAGAGCTAAAATGATTACACTTATATGCGCACGTTGACATATACACATACATTCGCATGTGTATACACATATACGAGAGAGCGTGATCCACCGCCGCGTTACTGTGGAACATTCCCCCCCCCCCCCCCCCCCCCCCCTCCCTCCGGAACCCGGGGTCCCCCCCCCCCCCCGAAAATCCCCCCCCCCCCTGCTGGAACTCCCCCCCCCCCCCTCCCCTAGCAAAACCCCCCCCTCCCCTAACCCCTCCCCTCCCCACCCCCCCCACCCCCCCCCCCCTCGAAAACCGGGGGGGGGTCACTGCCGGTTCGAACCCCCCCCCCCCCCGAAAACCGGAGGGGGTCACTACCGGTTCGAACCCCTCCCCACCTCCCCCTCACCGCCAGCAAACGACTCCCGGTCCCTACCACCGTCCGCACCACATCCCCCACTGTTGTTCCCAGCACCACTGTCCTCACCACCACTGTCCCCACTGGTTCCACCACCGTCCCTACTGTCCCCACCAGTGCCCCCACCACTGTCGCACTGTCCCCACTGTCCCCACCACTGTTCCCACCACGGTTCCACTCTCCCCACTTTCTCCACGGCCCCAACCACTGCCCGACTATCCCCACTGTCCCCACTGTCCCACTAACTCCTCCGCTGTCCCACTGAGCTGTCCCACTGTTCCCACCACTGTCCGCACTGTGCCCACCACTGTCCCCACTGTACCTCTGTCCCATTGTCCCACCGCCGTCCTCGCCACCGCCTTCACCACTGTCCCCACCCCCACTGTACCCTCCACTGTCCCGCTGTTTCCACCACATTCCCACTGTCCCCACACCACTGTCCCCACCACCACCGTCCCCACCACTGTCCCACTGTCCCCACTGTTCCCACCATTGTCCTCACCACTGTCCCCACCACTACCGTCCCCACCACTGTCCTACTGTCCCCACCACTGTCCCGCTGTCCCCTCACCAGTGTCCCCACCACCACCGTCCGCACCACTGTCCGCACCCCCCCCCCGGTTTTCGAGGGGGGGGGGGGTTCGAACCGGTAGTGACCTACCCCCCTTTTCATGATGGACTGGGGGAGGGGGGGGAGGGGTTTGAACCGGTAGTGACCCCCCCGGTTTTCCGGGAGGGGGGGGTAGTACCCCCCCGGGTTTTCCGCCAGCAGCGGTAGAACATGCTTTTTCATATATACAAGCATGTATCTACATACATAGTTGTGTACGTGTGTATACTAATATATATATATGTGTATTCGTATATATATATATAAGTACATGTACGTGCATCCGTATGTGCATTCAGACAGTCACATATATATAGAGAGATCATCCACATATATATAGAGAGAGAGAGAGAGAGAGAGAGAGAGAGAGAGCGAGAGAGAGAGAGAGAGAGAGAGAGAGAGAGAAAGAGATAAGCAGACAACGCGACAGAGAGAGAGAGAGAGAGAAGGAACTACATATATATAGAGATATGCAGAGAGGCAGGGAGGGATAGGGCAGGATATCTAGGAGGATCGGGAGAACGAGGAGGAGGAGAGGAAGAGGAGGAGCGAGAGAGGGTGGAGGAGGAGGAGGAGGAGGAGGAGGAGGAGGAGGAGGAGGAGGAGGAGTTGGAGTTGGAGGAGGAGGAGGAGGAGGAGGAGTTGGAGGAGGAGGTGGAGGAGGAGGAGGAGGAGGAGGAGGAGGGGGAGGCGGAGGAGAGCGAACGGGGGCGAGGCGGGGGAGAAGCGAGAGGGCGGTGAAAGAGGAGGAGGAGGAGGAAGAGAAGGAGGAGGAGGAGGAGGAGGAGGAGTAGGAGGACGAGGGGGAGGACGAAGAAGAGGCGGAGGAGGGGGGAGGACGAGGGGAAGCGAGAGAGGGCGCAGGAGGAGGATGAGGAGGAAAGGATGATGAAGGAGGAGGATCAGGAGGATGAGGCGGAGGAAGAGGGCAAAGATGACAATCTCGAGTTCGAGGAGGGCGAGCCCGCGTCTGACTGTGAAGCGTCAGCGCCGTACAGAGAGCAGCGGCGCTTGGCCTCGTGCGGCGCAGGCGGATCGAGCGGGTCCTTCCACTCGATCTGCGCGCCTGGCTTGTCAGCAGCTCAGGGTGGCGTCCGCCGGAAACGGGTCATTTGTATAATGAAGTCGGGCCTGTCCCTCTACAGGAGGAACGTTCAAACATTAGTCAGGGGATGCGTTTTTTCTTTAAAAATAACCATTTCGTGTTATGTTCGTGGAATAGTTTTGTCAATTTCCTAAATTTTCGTCCACAATCCCCCTGCAGAGGGGCAGGCCCGACTTAATTGTAGAAGCAGACAAGCTCTCACAAGCCCCAGTAGCTTTGAGTTGTTTGGCCTGGGAGAGGCTGGTCCTCGTGGTCGGGTTGGTGGCTGGGAGGTGGCTCAAGATACCGTTCGCTCCGAGTTTGTGGACACCCCGGCCCATCAGGTCCTCTCGTGCCTCAGCCTGCTTGGCTGCATAACTCGGGGCTGCCCCATTCGATGCACACCAGATCAGACTGTCACACGCTGCTTCTCTGTGCCACTTCTGCTGACCACCTCTTTGTGATTACGCAGGTTGTTTCGTTTGCTCAAGTGCTCTTGTTTGGTAAACAGTGTCCAGAACAGGCTTCGTGCCACTGGGTACGCTAGCAGGAGCGGCGGGTGAGCATCCGTAGCCATGTTGATCAAGTGAGCTAAGTGATATATTCAAGAGAGATGCTGAGGGAATTCTCGCTCGTCGTCTTCTTTGCAACCTTGTTAAGTTCGGACGCCGCCATTAAGGCAGGATTTCCGCCGTCGCCTAAGCCAGGTTGCCTACCAGCCGATGCGAACAACACGGACTTGTTCTGTCCTGGGGATCTCGGTTACGGTTGCTTCAAGATCCCCACAATCCTCAAGACGGTGAATGGTACGCTGCTGGCGATGATCGAGGCTCGCAAGTACAGCTGCGCCGACCACGGATTTATAGACCTTTGGCTACGCCGCTCCATCGATGGCGGCAAGACGTGGGCAGAGCCGATGCTCATGTACAGGAACAGCACGGAGTCGCAGTGGATAACCGTCGGAGATGGTAATTGGGTGCAGGACGCCTCTACAGGAACCATCTGGCTGTTCCACACGCGCAACAACTCCCAGCTATTCCTGTCGCACTCCGCCGACGATGGCTTGTCCTGCCTGGTCCGAGCCCATTCACAAGCCTTCTCTCCAGCGGAGCCTGACTGCGTCTGGAACAGGACATGCAGGTGGCATCCAGCTCTCCGCAGGTCCCGTCAAAGGCCGGCTTGTAATCCCAATCTATTCAGCAGGAGTGTACACCGTCTACAGCGACGACAAGGGCGCGTCCTGGCAGATGGGCGGTCTTGTGCCAGGTGAAAGATATTTGGGCGGCGCCGGCTCCGGTGAGTGGACGATTGCAGAAACTGGAACCTTCACGTGCGACGGTACGCCTGTTCTTCTCGCCAGCGTGCGCAACTCACCGAACATTCCTTCGGGGATCACGGGCAAAGGTCATCGGCTGCAGTCACTCTCGGAAGACGGAGGCATGACGTGGGGCCCAAGCTGGGAAGTCAAGGAGATCCCAGAACCGATACGAGGCTGCGAGGGATCGCTCGTCTACCACCCGGGCACGAAGAAGCTTTATTTCAGCCACCCAGATCCAGACCTCGACCTCCTCCGCAATCGCCTCAAAGTCTGGTCGTCAAGCGATCAGGGGTCCACGTGGCAGGACCACACGGTAGTCTGGGGAAAATCGGCGGGATATTCGTCACTCACAGTTTTGGACGATGGCAAGCTTGGCATATTTTACGATCGCAACAACCACTCAATGGTAGTCTTCGAGGCGCAGAGTGTATCATGGTCAGTCTTTCCTCCGTGAGCTATCCGTGCGTGGCAGCGCGCCCACACACAGTTGTGAATGATTCGATTGGGCGCACAATTTCAGGAAACTGTGGGGCTGCGATGCGATGCCGCTTTCGCTCAATACCAGCATCTGAGGTCGGGGTGAACTGGAGAGCCGCCGCCGCGGAAGCGTTTCGGCTCCAGATTGCCTCGAGCGTGCGGGCACGGAGAAGCTCTTCGCGCGGGCGAGAGAGTCTCCAGCCGTGGCCGAGGGCAGGCTCCGCAAGTTCCAGGGAGGCGGATTGTTCCGCGATTGTCCAGCTCGGTGTTCACCTTTGGCGCTGGGGGCGCTGGCTGGCGGGCTGTCCCGTGTGGTTGTTTCGTGCGGTTGTCCAGCAGTTGTGTCGTAAGGCCGACAGGCATTTGGGTCCTTGGGTATGCCGTTGGACAGAGCGTCCGTAGCTTCATTGGCAGGTCAACTTTTACGTATGCGGGACGAGTTTCCAGTGAAAGGTATTCCCCCTGGACCCCATGTCGTAACATTGGAGACGTGGCGATGAGGAGGGCTTGAGTGGACAAAGAGGTTTGTTCTTTAAAGTCTCCATTTGCGTGGCCGATGCGGCTCGATGTGGAGCCAGCTCCACGCTGGCGTCGCCGATGCATCGCCGACGCCGACAGCGCCGATGTATCGCCGACGTTTACGCATCGGCGATGCTGCGCGATCCTCCGACCCCATCTACTGGGACCCCATCTGGGAGGCCTCTACTCAAAGGTCCAAGAGAGGCCCCACAAGCGGCTCCAACGTGCCCCCACTCCTCCGAAGCAACAGCCTGAGCAGCATCACCGGCATCAGCGGCAGCAGCGGCGGGTGAAGCGGCAGCCGGCCCCAGCGGCAGTGACAGCACCACCATGATCAGCAACATCAGCAGCGGAGGCACGGACAGGAGCAGCAGCGGAATGAGCTGGTCCTGCACCAGCACCAGCACGGGCGCCAACGGTGGTATGACTCATCAGGAGCAGGAGTCCGGGCAGGAGGAAGCAGGAGCACAAGCACGAGCGGGAGCATGATGCTGATGATGATGACGATGACGATGACGTTGACGATGACGATGACCAGGACGAGGATAGTGATGGTGATGATGGTGCTGCTGATGATGATGATGATGATGATGATGATGATAACATGCTGGTGATGGTGATGGTGATGATGATAATTATGACACTGATGCTGATGTGCTGATGTTGCTGCTATTGCTGATGCTGCCGATGACGATGACGACGACGATGACGATGACGGTGACGATGACGATGACGATGCTGATGCTGATGATGACGATAATGGTGATGGTGATGGTGATGGTTACAGTTATGGTGGTGATGGTGATAATGGTGATGATTGTTGTGGTAACGGTCATAATGGTGATGGTGGCGATGATGACGATGCTGGTGGCGATGAGGATTGCAATGCTGGTATTGGTGATGGTGATGATGACAATCATGATGACGATGATGATGATGATGATGATGATGATGATCATATTCATGATGATGATTATGAATGACCATCATCATCATGCTGATGCTGATAGTGATGCTGATGCAAATGCTGATGCTGGTGCCGATCATGATTATGA